TCAACGGAACAACAGCACGAGCCATCTATCTACAAACAAACATAGACAAGCAAAATACTATCAGGTACTAAGTTCATGATAAATTTAAGTTCAATTAATCATATTACTTAAGAACTCCCACTTAGACAGACATCTCTCTAGTCATCTAAGTGATCACGTGATCCAAATCAACTAAACCATGTCCGATCATCACGTGAGATGGAGTAGTTTCAATGGTGAACATCACTATGTTGATCATATCTACTATATGATTCACGTTCGACCTTTCGGTCTCCGTGTTCCGAGGCCATATCTGTATATGCTAGGCTCGTCAAGTATGACCTGAGTATTCCACGTGTGCAACTGTTTTGCACCTGTTGTATTTGAACGTAGAGCCTATCACACCCGATCATCACGTGGTGTCTCAGCACGAAGAACTTTCGCAACGGTGCATACTCAGGGAGAACACTTCTTGATTATTAGTGAGAGATCATCTTAAAATGCTACCGTCAATCAAAGCAAGATAAGATGCATAAAAGGATAAACATCACATGCAATCAATATAAGTGATATGATATGGCCATCATCATCTTGTGCTTGTGATCTCCATCTTCGAAGCACCGTCGTGATCACCATCGTCACCGGCGCGACACCTTGATCTCCATCGTAGCATCGTTGTCGTTACGCCATCTATTGCTTCTACGACTATCGCTACCGCTTAGTGATAAAGTAAAGCAATTACAGGGCGTTTGCATTTCATACAATAAAACGACAACCATATGGCTCCTGCCAGTTGCCGATAACTTCGGTTACAAAACATGATCATATCATACAATAAAATATAGCATCACGTCTTGACCATATCACATCACAACATGCCCTGCAAAAACAAGTTAGACGTCCTCTACTTTGTTGTTGCAAATTTTACGTGGCTGCTACGGGCTTAGCAAGAACCATTCTTACCTACGCATCAAAACCACAACGATAGTTCGTCAAGTTGGTGCTGTTTTAACCTTCGCAAGGACCGGGCGTAGCCACACTCGATTCAGCTAAAGTGAGAGAGACAGACACCCGCCAGCCACCTTTAAGCACGAGTGCTCATAACGGTGAAACCAGTCTCGCGTAAGCGTACGCGTAATGTCGGTCCGGGCCGCTTCATCTCACAATACCGCCGAACCAAAGTATGACATGCTGGTAAGTAGTATGACTTGTATTGCCCACAACTCACTTGTGTTCTACTCGTGCATATAACATCAACGCATAAAACCTAGGCTCTGATGCCACCGTTGGGGAACGTAGTAATTTCATAAATTTTCCTACGCACACGCAAGATCATGGTGATGGCATAGCAACGAGAGGGGAGAGTGTTCGTCCACGTACCCTCGTAGACCGTAAGCGGAAGCATTATGACAACGCGGTTGATGTAGTCGTACGTCTTCACGATCCGACCGATCCAAGTACCGAACGTACGGCACCTCCGAGTTCAGCACACGTTCAGCTCGATGACGATCTCCGGGCTCCGATCCAGCAAAACTCCAGAGATGAGTTCCGTCAGCACGACGGCGTGGTGACGATGATGATGTTCTACCGGCGCAGGGCTTCGCCTAAACTCCACAACGATATGACCGAGGTGGAATATGGTGGAGGGGGGCACCGCACACGGCTAAGGAACGATCCGTAGATCAACTTGTGTCTATGGGGTGCCCCCCCGCCCCCGTATATAAAGGAGCAAGGGGGGAGGCCGGCCGGCCCCTTGGGGCGCGCCAAGGGGGAGAGGGGGAAGGAAAAGGGGGGGCGCCCCCCTCCTAGTCCAATTCGGACCAGAGGGGGGAGTCTCTCCCTTCCCCTAAGGCCCATAAGGCCCAATACTCTCCCGGGGGGTTCCGGTAACCCCCCCGGCACTCTGGTTTTCTCCGAAATCACCCGGAACAATTCCAGTGTCCGAATATAGTCGTCCAATATATCAATCTTTATATCTCGACCATTTCGAGACTCCTCGTCACGTCCGTGATCACATCCGGGACTCCGAACAAACTTCGGTACATCAAAACTTATAAACTCATAATAAAATTGTCATCGTAATGTTAAGCGTGCGGACCCTACGGGTTCGAGAACTATGTAGACATGACCTAGAACTATTCTCGGTCAATAACCAATAGCGGAACCTGGATGCCCATATTGGTTCCTACATATTCTACGAAGATCTTTATCGGTCAAACCGCATAACAACATACGTTGTTCCCTTTGTCATCGGTATGTTACTTGCCCGAGATTTGATCATCGGTATCCAATACCTAGTTCAATCTCGTTACCGGCAAGTCTCTTTACTCGTTCTGTAATGCATCATCCCGTAACCAACTCATTGGTTACATTGCCTGCAAGGCTTAATGATGTGCATTACCGAGAGGGCCCAGAGATACCTCTCCGACGATCGGAGTGACAAAACCTAATCTCGAAATACGCCAACTCAACATGTACCTTTGGAGACACCTGTAGTACTCCTTTATAATCACCCACTTACGTTGTGACGTTTGGTAGTACCCAAAGTGTTCCTCTGGTAAACAGGAGTTGCATAATTCTCATAGTTACAGGAACATGTATAAGTCATGAAGAAAGCAATAGCAATATACTAAACGATCAAGTGCTAGGCTAACGGAATGGGTCATGTCAACCACATCATTCTCCTAATGATGTGATCCCGTTAATCAAATGACAACACATGTCTATGGTTAGGAAACATAACCATCTTTGATTAATGAGCTAGTCAAGTAGAGGCATACTAGTGACGTTATGTTTGTCTATATATTCACACATGTATCATGTTTCCGGTTAATACAAATCTAGCATGAATAATAAACATTTATCATGATATGAGGAAATAAACAATAACTTTATTATTGCCTCTAGGGCATATTTCCTTCACCGTGCCCACCGGGTGGATTCATCATCGTCGTGCGAGCCGCCTCGGCTTGTTCGGCCACGCGCTCCACCTGCTCCGTCGCCGCCGCCGCGGCCGTCGCGTGTGCCGCTCTCTCCCTGGCCTTCTTGGCCCTGTTGCGCCTATCGGCGGTGACGGCTTCCCGGCGCTGCACATTCGCCTTCCAGTCGGTGTTGGCCATGCCCGGGGGCTTGGACAACGACGTCCTCGGCTTCCTTTGCTTCGGCTGGGCGACGGCGGCGGTTGTGGGATCCATCGCGGCGCGGGGCATCACGTACTTCTTCGGTGGCATGGCGGGCGGCTTGGAAGGGAGGAGGTGGAGTTTGGCGGGAGGAATGGAGAATGAGAGGGAAGCCGAGGGGGAAAGCGGGAGGAAAGAAACGGCGGAAAAAGGGCCTCCTCTCGCCGACAGAGCGGCCCCACGCCACTTTTCGCTTCTGCCAGGCGACACTCGGGCGCTTGGGTTCGGGGCGGGATCGCCGGCTCTGGATTTGGCCCAAACCGACGGTAAACGAGGTCCTGGGGGCACGACTGGGCCGATTTTCGGTCACCGACGCTAAAAATTCACGCGGGAGGGGGGGGAGAGGGGGGAGGGGGCGGGGGCTGTTGGGGGCACGGCTGGAGATGCTCTTATGAACATCCGTCCGATCCCGTAAATAATTGACGGACAGTCCATGTACTTTTGTGGACACTGCAACAAGTGAAGAACATATTCTAACATGAGAAAGCACTACAACTCACTATAGCACATGAACCAGCTAAGATTGGTCACTTATGTTTGTGGAATGATAGCATCGGCTAGAACACTAATGTACCGCCCGCTGTGGCTGCTCGTGTCTACACTGTTAAGTTATAAAGCTTTGCTTTGCCTTAAAAACTCTTTGCTGAGACAATCTAGGAAGACAGAAGGTTCACGAGAGAGGGGAGAGAAAAGGGAGAAAACACACATGCCTATAGTGATTTCTTTTTTATAATAATCCCTCCATTCTAAATTATTTGTCTTAGATTTGTCTCTAGGCAATGCAAATACTACATTTTGCTATGCGAATTTTAACTTTTGGTACGGGGCTCACGTGAGCCCAAATCCCAGGTCACTTTTCCTGTTGTTCATTTCCAACCGAGGAAAGAAAAAGGGTCTATCTAGGGCACATCTGCCCTAAAAAAAAAGAAAAAAGAAAGAGAGTATCCACACGAATCTCCGGATAAAATCATAGGACTTACATGTGCAATACTTGGGGCACATCTAGATATGCTTTAGTAAAACTGAAAGAAAAAAGTATGCTTTAGTAAAACTGAAAGAAAAAAGTATGCTTTAGTAAAACTGAAAGAAAAAAGTACCCCTGGTCGAAACAAGGCCTGAAAATTTGCGATTGCCTTGTTTGTATTTATTTAATTCATATTCGCCAAAATTATATGGACAGCCAGTGAACTTGACAAGTGTAAACAGAATATATCACATAGGTGTAGAGATGACATGAACATTCATTCCTCCATACTAGTACATCTACAGGCGCCGCATGCACCATCAACACAGGCACAACACACACACAAAACGCATCACCCTTTTCATCATCATCTACTGGTAAGTCATTGCCGCTTGGTGGTCGAACAGTCGACCTTGATATGTAATCGGTCTGAGGCGCCATGGGGCAAGCGGTAGGTGGAACTGGACAAGTCGTAAGCTATGAAATGGACTGGAAAAGTTCCAGCAGCCTTAAAAAAATCTATTCAAAAATGATCTGCACAGCCGATAAGCCCATCATCATTATTCCCAGCTCATTAGTTATTTCTACGCACCACCAAATTGGTATGGCAGCCAGATATACCATCATCCAGCACCTGTTTGAAAGAAAAAAGTGTGAACAAAACTAAATATTTGCTGGCCGGCGATAAACAGACATTTTCCCAAACAGGTCACTTGAACAAATGATACATCTTGGGTAAATTGATAGGGTAAGAACCATAAAGACCTTGGCATAGTATAACAGAATAGTTCTCTTACTACGTTTCATGCTTGTAGCAAGAAAGTGGTTACCTGTCTAGCGGTAATCCAACGTACCAGCACCCATTGTGAAGGGAAAGGTTAGAGAATCTGCATTACAATTAGCACTGTTAAATACATGTTGCGACAAACAAAAAGGGGGGGAATCATCTTGATTGAACAAGTACCATCAGCAGAGCCATCGATAAAGTTAGCATGATTGTGCAGACCGTCTGTGATCATACTTTCAACTGGAATTTGAGTACGGTCACAATTAGCACCAGTAATAGCAGCTATGTCAGGGGGGCTGTTTTCAAGAAATTGTTCGACTTGACCCATAAGTATGCTCGATTGGCTTTCCATGTACGCAAATGATTCGGCAGAGGTTGCAGCTCTAGCCGCTGCTATACTGAATATTCGACACAATAAAGTGTGACGCTTTGTCTGAGGATCACCATCAAAAGAGTACGCGTAACCACCATTTGAAGATCCTGATCTGGCATCTTTCCTCCACCTTTTCAAGATGTACTGAGGAGGAATGTCCTTGATATTCCTAGTGTCAAGTACCTTCAGCATATGGCGACATGGAATGCCTACAAACTCAAACCTCTTGCAACTACAATGTGACATGGAATTGAGCGAATCATACTTAACAAAATGATCTTTTGGATTGTCCTCGCCAGTTATCCTATACTCACAGATTGTGCCCATCTCGCCACAGTTATATAGCATGCAATCCATGTACAATTCAAACTCTCTTTCAAACATTCTATAGGCAGCAGGTGTATACACATTTGCAGCTTGCCTTAATATTCGCATCGGAGGTGGCTTCTTTGTGCTTTGATTGGCACTCACATCAAGTTGCAGTTCTGCAGACCGACGATCACATAATAATTTTTCAAACTGCACAAAGAAACTCAAAAGGTCGAATTCTAGGGATAAATATATTTTAAGCTCACTACTCAAGTTGTCCTTCTGTTGGACGCTTTTCATATCAGCGTAAAATGCCTCACGACCATATGGTAATGCCCATTTCTCCTTAACAGCAAGAAGATCTGCTAGCCATTGATTATCTTTTAGGTCATGATTTTCCAACATTTCTCTCCATGCCATCAAAAACTCAGCCTCATCTTCACAATCAAATAGGCATCTCTTGAAGTTGTATTCTAAAGTTCTTGACCCATGGAATGCTTGACTTAACTGTTGAAGAGCATTTTGGTAAATTTGCCAAACACAAAAACGATGTGCCGTCTCAGGCCAACTTACTGCAACAGCTTCACTTATCACAGCCGATCTATCAGTTAACAATGTCTTGGGATGGGTACTATTCATTGCCATCTTAAAAGTATCAAATAGCCATCTGAAAGCTTCAAAGCTCTCATCATAAAGTAATGCAGTACCAAAGATGACAGTTTGCCTATGATGATTCAGACCTGTAAACAAAGCAATCGGCCTACCATAGCCTTGCACTGCATATCCTGAATCAAGGCATACTACATCACCAAAGTGGGTAAAATCCATGATGGACTTGGAATCTGCCCAAAGAAAATTAGTCAAGTACCCATCTTCATCAGATTTTACTGCATAGAAGAATGAAGGGTTGTCATGTTGCATCTTTTGTAGGTACTCCAGAGTGGCACCTACATCACCATAGTGAGGAACTTTACACTTGTACCTTTTCCAACTTCTACCTTCTAGACTGTTTGAAGTGGCATCATCCTTGATAAGATTTTGCTTGCCGTAACAATCGTCTAGTGATTCATCATACAAATCTACTCCACAATCTTGATAACTTCCAGCCGCTAGTGATGTCATCACAAGATCAGAAGCTGCTGCAGCGCCAAGACCGTGATTGTGGAAGGTGACAAACTCAGTGACATTATACTTGCCGTTAGATGCAAGTCTGATGACCATACACGCTGGGCAACCAGTTCGTGTCTCCGGACGAGGCTTCTTTACTCTATTTGCTCCTCTTTTCTTCTCACGGAACCCTTCTTTTGAACAAACAAACATCCTTCTAGTGATAACATTTTCAGCATTTACTGTCATGCTTGCCCTTCTCACGTTAAATCCAATTTTCCCTGCATACATGCTGTAAAATTCATATGCCTCATCTTCATTTTCAAACTCTGGCGTTACCACAGTATCATCCACCAGATTTTCTCTCACAGCCCGTGCTTTACGCCTAATTTTCTTTGCTTTCAACATATGAATCGTAGAAGCTGTTGCCAACTGATGGTTATGGTTTGGTACAAATTCTGTCAAACGGTACTTGCCATTGGGAGTAAGCCTAATGGTCATGCTTGCTGGGCAACCAATTCTTGTTTCAGGCCGTGGGCACTTTGATTCCTTGGCACCCTTCTTCTTCTCCCGAAAACCTTCTCTTGAGCAAACAAATGTCCTCCTAGTGATGATGTTTTTCGATGTTGTCCAGAGTGTTGATCTCCGAACAAAGAAGCCCACCTTCTCCGCATAAATATTGTAGAACTCATAAGCATCATTCTCGTCATCAAATAGCATATTTACTTCCGGCAACATCTTCTCATTGCAGCTATTAATCACAGGAAGAACATCGGCTGCCACCACATCCGCCACTGCTTCCTACCCATGAAAAATGGCAGCACCATGATAAGGTAACAAGGCTTTGTTCTTCCTTAAGACCTAGTGGAAAATAGACAATAGTAGAGAACATACCCCATTTTGTTGTGGATACGCAGGATTCACATGAGGAGGCCAAGATGTGCATGGACGCAGGACTACATGTCCAGGCCAGGACTGTTGTGCTAATCTCAGATCAGTGGTGGGGCCATCTGAAGCAGTAGGCATAGAATTCTGGACTAAGGGAGGTGGCACAAGCGGAGTAGCAATTCGGGGACCCTTCTCCTTTGTACCACCGCCGCTGTTGCTGGACATTTTGTTCTACATACAGGTATACGCCAGTCACGAGCACTCAAAATCCACTTGATAGACAGAATGAAGCTTCTTGTAATTGCACCCTACCGCTAGGCAACACAACTTCAAGAAAAGAAAGAAATGTGGTCAATAAATGAAGCAGCAGTTTACCAATCAACCTTTGGACTATTTAGTCTAATACATCGTGAATACTACTAAAGAATAAAGGGCAGCCCGGTGCATGTAGCTCCCGCTTGCGCAGGGTCCGGGGAAGGGTCCGACCACTTTGGGTCTATAGTACGCAGCCTTTCCCTACATTTCTGTAAGAGGCAATAAAAAGAGGATGAAAGAGGAAATGTTGATTGGCCAAGAAATTAGCATAGATGTAAACAAAATCAACCGAGAAATCACAACAAATTCTTCCACAGTAGAGCTGAACCTGATGGCCAAATTGGATAACCTACTGCTAGATCCGTCCACAAGCAGAACTCGATCCAAGTCAAGCTATGCTGCGCAACCGGCTGGATTTCACTGTACACAAGATTACCTTAAAAGTCCTCGGGTAGGACGGAAGAACCGAGGAGGGAGAGGGAATTGTGATTCCCTACACAATGGTGGCCACTACCATGCAGCCAGGCAGTGGTGGGCACATGACTATATGTAAGGTAAGGCAGACTTAAGCCTTTAGGGAGAGGGCTCCAACCTCACTAATGGACAAGAATGTCAGTACATGTGTATACATATGTAAAATTAAGTTATTTGTGACATAAACTCTGAAAAATCCCGATTTAAGCAGATCAAACCACCCATTACCTTCCTACCACCTCAATCCTCGTATTTGCAATTCAGAGTATTTTCCAAAACATTCAAACCCACCACCGCAGCTCAATTATGAACACAATGGCCACCACTACGGATCAGTCCCTAAAAAACCCAATCGCCCAGTCAACTAATATACCTACTTATACCGACTGGGAACTTCCAAGCATGACAAATGGGACACCCAAGACCACACCACTAACTCTATGCATTCGGTTTATTCAGTTTGGTAAATACCCTTTTGTGGTATGTACACTATCCATACTTCGGTCAATATGGTACATTGGTACTATAAAACTAAAATGCGATTTGGTTTTGGTATATACCAAACTATTTTGGTATGGCTTCGATTAAACCAAAGTTGACGCAAATTTAAAAATGAGAGAACGACGCTTTCTTCCTGTCCTATGTATCTCTGAAGGTTCTGAACTTCTATTCCATACATTTGTCACAACAGGACTTGCATTAGACTAGCCATGACAATTAACTAGCACTAGAAAATTACTCCCTCCGTAAACTAATATAAGAGTGTTTAGATCACTACTTTAGTGATCTAAACACTCTTATATTAGTTTACAGAGGGAGTAGAGGTTAGTGAAGGCATGGATGGATAAATTTCACAAACTAATTAGATGCTGGGAGCAAACCTTATGATGTCAAGGACAAGTCATCTTTGGACCGTAGCACTAGCAGTATAGCATTCCATATTATGCTACAGAACGTAACATAATATGTCTCACCATGAGTGTTCAGATAACGGGAATCACAGACAGAACAAAAGAAAACAGTGTCAGTACGTCACAACCTCCCATAGCCATGGGGCACGAGCATTGCCACAATACCAGTTGCCAACTTCACAAGATGGCAGCTTAGTACTAATTAGCACAGCCCAAGCACCTTTACAGTACTCAGCAGCATTGTAAGTTCCTTCAAATCTGAAAAGTCAAGCGAAATAGGTAACATCAATTTATGAAACCTCTGTATAAGACATGATATCGATGGAATTGCCATTGTTCAGAAACCTATTCGCAGCAAAAAAAAAAAAAGATCCCACTCATTGGCTCATTGCAACTTTGCCACCATAGTAATTAACTAATTAAGGTACAGGAATTACCTGAAGCTTTACCAGGTTGTGCTTGGGCGGGGACGGAGAACGCCGGGAAGTAGGAAGCTGCAACCTGCGAGGGCCGGTGGGTACGGCGTCGGACGGGCGAGTAGCTGAGCAGGCCGCTCGCTTGACGGTGGAACGGCACCGGAGGCGTGGCGATGTAGCGAGGTTGAGCGCCGGACGGCGAAGCGGCGCCGGAGGCGTGGCGAACTGGCGAAGCAGCGAGCCGTTGAGCTCCCGGTGGTGAGCGCGCCGCCGTGTTGCTCGCTAACGCTAGGGTTCGTCTGTCGGTCTGCCCGATGCGCTAGCTGCCGCTTCGGGTAAATCCTATCTGACGCTCAATGCGCCAGATACTCGGCATAGCGCACAGGCGTAGGCTCCATGCCCACTGGCAGGCTCAGGCTGTGTTTTCTTTAGGGACTGCCTATTCGGCGCACTTTATTTGAAGAACGGAGTTAAATATTTACATACGCGTTCATCAAATCCGGTCTTCACATGCCGGACGTGTTCGTGAACACTGACTGGGCACTCTTTAAATCTCTCGTTCACGGTACCCTATATTATTCATACTAAAACATGCAACGTGAATAAACTACGCAGATCATTAAACGGACATTGAAACAAATGTAGAAATGCACACTTCGATCACCAACTGATCTCTATACGATCGCCAAAGTTCACATAAACCACATAAATGACGGACAAGTTTAAACTAAACTACTAAAAACTGGAAATTAAAGACGGAGACGGCGGAGCTTCGCCACTTCCTCGCCGGTTCTTAGCCCTTCGATGGCCGGCGCTGCTGTAGGCGTCCGCGGCAGAAGGTGGATCGTCAGAGTTGGAGCTGTCGTCAGAGGAGGAATCAGAGATGACAGTGTATCCCTTCATCCGCCGGACAACCCAATTCTGCTTCCGCTTGAGCTTGGCCACCCTCGCCGCCTCCATCGCTGCCTCCGCAGTCTCGTGCTCGGACTGCTCAATGGCTAGTCGGAGTAACTTGGCATTCTTCCTCCGAAGTTGGGGAGCGTCCGGCTTCGCCATCGTAAGTGACCGGCGGTGGACCCATGCGAGGAGCCGCTCCTCCTTGCCACGCACCACCGGCATCCCACGGCGACGGCGAACGGATTGCTCGACCTCGTCCCTTTCCCTTGCATGTTGTCTCCCACGGTAGGCGGCGCGCGCCTTCGATTTAGGCGTGCGCGTCGGCGGCGCCGGCGGAGCGGGCACTGGAACCCACCGTTGCCCTTGCGGAGAAATGACCGGCGGAGGAGGTGGGCGACGAAGGGATGGCGCGGATAGAGCCGCCCACGCGGAGCTATACGCCAGTCGGGAGGGGCTAGCTCCAACGCACTGCGCCGGCGGGCAAGCGGCAACGAACCAGACCCGAAACTGCCCCGTGACCGCTCCATCGCAATGCAGAGGGCCAGCTCGTCCTCACCATCGACGGAGCCATCGGAGCGGCTGCCAGAGCTCGACATGGTCACCGGAGATGGGATTGGATTGTTAGAGTGACATGTTTCGGGATTAGGGGTGCATGACACGTTGGTCACTCGTCCTTTGGGCTGGGCTGGGCTGGGCCGAGGAGCCCCCGAAACTCATCATCTAGCAGAAAGAATGATCCAAAGACTTTGCGTGTACTCCAAGACCTTGAGATAGTCCATGACACATTTGCCTCTAGGTTCAACCAACCTATCTGTAAACTCTGGTACCCCGATGTATGTATAAACCGACGTACCAGGCCCGTAGAGGACACATTCATTCCTATATGATCTCATGCTAGATCACCTATAACTTGCACCCCATTTGTCGTGGTACTAAGGCTGACAGTAGAATGGGGGGTAGGTATGGAGAGGCAAGATCCTAGCTATGGAGTAGTTGTATACACAAGGGATTTACGAGTTCAGGTCCTTCCCGGAGGAAGTAACAGCCCTACGTCTCGGAGCCCGGAGGCGGTCGACTGGATTATAAGTGTATGAGTTACAGGGGTGCGAACCCGTCTGCCAGTGGAGGGGGGTGGCTTATATAGTGTCTGCTAGGACCCCAGCCAGCCCACGCAGCGGAGGGTTTAAAGTACATTAAGGCCAGGCGTTACCTGTAACGCCTTACATAAAGTGTCATCATGGCCATAAAGACTACTTAATTACAGACCGTTTGGATACAGAGTGGCTCTTGATCTTCTGGTGGTCGAGTGAGTCTTCATGGTCGACTGTCTTCAAGTCCGTAGAGTGGAATCCCTCTTGGTCGACTGGAAGGCAGCTTCTTCTAAAGATGTCCTTGGGGAGGGTACTTTGGACGGGTCCATGACCCTACCTTAGGTACATGACTTCATCATTAGCCCCCGAATGCATCGAGGTTTGAGTGAGGAAGGAGTTGATAGTCTTTCCGACCTGTTTTTGTGTTCTGAGCATGTCTCATTCTGGATCAATGACTTTTTAATGATGGCATCAACTTTTCTTTCAGTCGCCTTGATCCATTCTTTTCCTCTGTCGAGTGAACCTTTGAACTTGGTGGACTTCCGAGCGACGGATCTTAGGAAATCTACCGTCTGACAGGTTGCTCTGCTGTTAGCGGATTTAGTGGGATCCGAATTTTGGGAAGCGCACGAAGCGGGGAGGACCGCGGTACTCGGATGGGATAAGGCGAAGACGCCTCGATATCCGCGTCGCCTTTTTCGCCATGTATCGCGCGCGCGACTGTTTCGGGATTTGATAGGATCGCCCGGGCCTACCTGTCAGCCACTCGGAAGTGTCCCTATATAAGGTGCCGGATGAGGGTTTTTGAACAGTGCGTCTCCATTCCCCACTCCACCTTCCTCACCCTCGCCTGCTGCGCCCGCTTTTGCCTCTGCCCATCCACTCCTCGCACGCCTCGCCGGCGACGATGGTGAAGGAGAAGACGACAGCCTTGGAGCGAGCGAAGAAGGCGACGGCGATGGCGAAAGCAAAGGGAAGAGCGACCAGTCGGGGTGGATCTTCGTCGCGGTCCCGCCTGCCGCAAGGTTGGGTCCAAGGAGATTGGATCCGCTCGACCATCACCCAGACGGATCTCGACGATCTGGCCAATGAGGGACTGATCTCCCATGGGTCAGCAAGAC